AAAATGCCATAAGATCTTGAATATATTTTCTGCCTAGGATTTGACTGGCTTTATAACTTTATAAGTTATACAGAGAAGAGCAACAAAGATGATTAGGCGACTGGAGGCTAAAACATATAAGGAACGGTTGCTGGAATTGGGTATGTCTAGTTTAACGATATGTTCCAATATCTCAGGGGCTGCCACAAAGAAGAGGGAGTCAAGCTATTCTCCAAAGCGCCTGAAGGCAGGACAAGAAGCAATGGGTGGAAACTAACCAAAGAGAGAAGCAACCTAGAACTAAGGAGAAACTTCCTGACAGTTAGAACAATTAATCAGTGGAACAACCTGCCTCCAGAAGTGGTAAATGCTCCAACACTGGAAGTTTTTAAGAAGAAACTGGACAGCCATTTGTCCGAAATGGTATAGGTTTCCTGCCTGAGCAGGGGGTTGGACTAGATGACCTCCAAGGTCCCATCCAACTTTATCATCATCATCATCATCATCATCATCATCATCATTATTATTATTATTATTATTATCTCTCTTTGTTGGGGGTAGTGGTGGAAGTCAAATGTTTGATTCACTAACATGAAACATTATCAGCTCTAAAGGGGAACACTTTCAGATCTGACTTCTGCTGCAAAGAACGTGAAATCGCAATCTGCTAAAATTATTAATAAAAATGTTTCTGTTAAGATGGCGGAAAGAAGAATGAAGATGAAAGTTGAGAAGAAAGAACGTTAACCATCTCCAACTCTTTGATCTGAAATGAAACCTGAGGAACTTACGCTGAAGTGGCACGCTGATGCCACCTTGATTGCAAGAACTGGGCTCAGCAAGTCTTTAAAAGAGTGAGTTGCATTCTGGGAGATTTTTGCCCAATGTCTTGTGTTTTGCCCCAAAACTGCTGGAATCTTCAGAGTGCATAACGGGCAAGGCTGGAGATGTCTTTTGCATCATCTCAGCATGAAATTCTAGAACAAATCCTAGAATAAGAATTCTAAGGATAAATCTTCTGACATCATTTTAGGCTGTGAATGTCAAGGAAAGGCAGGAAATGATACCTACACTGAAAATTAGCACTATCATGTTGATTATATATTGTCTCATTTACTGTGCATGATCCTCTTATGTAAGAAGAAAAATGATAGAGAAAAGGAAATAATTGATACCTCTATTTATTACCTCTTTGTTACTGAATCAAAGTATTTGTATCCCACTTTTCTACCTTAACAATAGCGCCTATTATCGATCTTGGATAAGTCATCTTTTGGGCAGCTTCTTCATCATCAACTTTACATCCTACTACTATCAATCTTGGATAACTCATCATTTGGGCAGATTCTTCATCATCAACCTTACTCTCTACTATCATCTTGGATAAGTCATCTTCTGGGCAGATTCTTCATCATCAACCTTACTCTCTACTATCTATTTTGGATAAGTCACCTTTTGGGCAGCTTGTTCATCATCAACCTTACCCCTACTATCGATCTTGGATAAGTCATCTTTTGGGCAGATTCTTCATCATCAACTTTACATCCTACTATCGATCTTTGATACGTCATCCTTTGGGCAGCTTCTTCATCATCAACCTTACTCTGTACTGTCTAACTTGGATAAGTCATCTTTTGGGCAGCTAGTTCATCATCAAACTTACCCCTACTATCGATCTTGGATAAGTCATCTTTTGGGCAGCTTCTTCATCATCAACCTTACTCTCTATCATCTATCTTGGATAAGTCATCTTTTGGGCAGCTTCTTCATCATCAACCTTACTCTCTATCATCTATCTTGGATAAGTCATCTTTTGGACAGTTTCTTCATCATCAACCTTACTCTCTACTATCATCTTGGATAAGTCATCTTTTGGGCAGCTTCTTCATCATCAACCTTACTCTCTACCGTCCATCTTGGATAAGTCATCTTTTGAGCAGATTCTTCATCATCAATCTTACTCTCTACCGTCCATCTTGGATAAGTCACCTTTTGGACAGCTTCTTCATTATCTAGTATTTTCTGACTGGGGATCTGTTCTTCAACTTTTCAAGAATCCTAAGCTTGTTTTTTAAAAAGCACTGATCTTTTTTTAAAAAAAATCCATTGTCACAAAATGCATTATACTGGAAACAAAGTGGTTATTGGCAGAGATCGACATACCCATTGCATAGGCTATATGCTATTAATGTAGTCATGCAGAACACAAAATAAGATGAAAACTCCTCTTCCCCCCCCCCCCAGTGCATTCAAAGCTGGGGACCAAAAATAAAATCTAATCTTGTGCATGCTTAGAAGGAGGAGGAGAAGGTTCTTTAGGAAGAAAAAAAAAAGCCAAACTTTAAAAGTAAGAAAAAAAAATAGAAATGAAATGAAAAACAAAGTTATTTCCAAAGAAAGGGTTATAAGTGACCATTCCTGGGAACTTACTCAGAGTCTTTGTCCCATAACCGTCGTCCCCTAATCCGGGGAAGTCCTGCACGGCAGTCCCCGGAGAGAGCAATGAAAGGAAAGAACAGCCGCAGAAGAGGAAGGAACAGGTCAGTGCAGTTGAAATGGATACTACCATGACAGACCATGCAGATAATTCAATCTGGATTCCCACGTTTGGAGAAAAATAAGGCTTAATCTCCCAATTCGAAGACTTTCACGGAAGCCAAAGAGATGTAGTTAAAGTGAGAAAACAAAATACTCTCTTTAGACAAAGAAACACAGGTAGTCCTTGACTTACAACCACTTGTTTAGTGACCGAAGTTACAACGGCACTGAAAAAAGTGATTTATGACTGGTTTTCACACATATGACCATTGCAGCATCCCCATGGTCATAGGAACAATAATCAGACACTTGGCAACTGGCTCATATTTATGATAGTTGCAGCGTCCCCGGGGTCACATGATCCCCTTTTGCGACCTTCCGACAAGCAAAGTCAGTGGGGGAAGCCACAACCGGGCTACTACCTTAATCACTACAGTGATTCAGTTAACAACGGTGGCAGGAAAGGTTGTAAAATGGGGCAAAACTCACTTACCAACTGTCTTGCTTAGCAGCGGAAATTTGGGGCTCAGTTGTGGTCGTGAATTGAGGAATACCTATGGTCTCAGAAATTGGACAAATTGAAGCTGCTTGGGCTGGCAGATCAGAATACAGCTGACATCAGCTTGGTGTTGAAGACCATGTGGGAGGACATTGGGAACCTGGCCAGCATTCATTTGATGTCGTATTATCTCAAATAAATGGAGTTGTGGAAGTTTGAGAACATATAATCCTTACGCCTGCTTTTTAAAGAAAGCTTGGATATGTGTGATAGCAATATACAGGCAGGTCTCGACTTACAACCATTCATTGACATTTCCATGGTCGTGTGGCCAGCATGCTAAAGGTACCCAGAATGCTATTACTGTCCCACTGAAGCGGTACCGATTAATCTACTTGCATTTGCATGCTTTCAAACTGCTAGGTGGACAGAAGCTGGAGCAATAACGGAGTTCGCCCCATTGCACAGCGCTTGGATCTCGAACCCCAGGCCGTCTGCTTTCCAGCTGACAAGCTCAGCATCTTTAATTACTAAGTCATTGCGCTCCCTAAATGCCCCTAAATGCCCAATAGAAGATATTAAATCCAGTGGAGACTCATTATCTCTCTCTTTTCTTTTTAGTTTATGGCTTAGAAATTACTTGCATCTCGATTTCCCATTTCGGCTGCATTCCTTGAAGCGGCAAAGTGGGAAAACTTCAATCAGATATCTGATTTTCACAGATAAGACACTTTTTTTTCTTTCTTTTTTCTAAATAGCTGGGAACTAGTCCAAGCCATCTCATCATGGAGAGCCTTCCGGTTCAATAGACTGAGCTATCAAGCTAAGACCAGTCAAAGCCATAAATATTTGAGTGGGAACTCACAGGCACAATTCACCCAAGGAGTGCAGGCGGTCCTCACCTTATGACCACAACTGAGATCGGAAATTCCGTTGCTAAGTTGTTAAGGGAATCGTACTCAATTTTACAACCTTTTTTTTTGCCATGGTCGTTAAGCGAATTGCTGCGGTTGTTAAAAGTCTTGGGTAGATACTAAGTAAATCAGGCTTTCTCCATTGACCTCTCTTCTTGGGAGCTGATTGGGAGGACACTGCAACGATTGTAAATACATCCTGGTTGCCAATTGCCCATGTTTGGATCATGTGATCATGGGGGTGCTGTAATAGCCATAAGTGTGAGGGCAGAAGGTCATAAGTCATCTTTTTCAGTACCATTTCTTTTTCTTGGAACAACGCTGTAATTAATCCCTTAATTCGGGGTGGAGTCCAGGCAACTGAATGAAGCTGAGTGTTTGCTGGCCAGATGCCCTTCCTGACACCTATATGGAGTTCACAGCAAATATTTCCCCTTTGTGCCCAGAGAGAGAAATATCTGCTGCTCCCTAGGATCCAACTCACACCCTCCTGACTGTGAGGTGAGAGCTCCATCCTTAGGCTGCTCACCTTTTTCAGTACCAAAAAAAGAGAGAATATTTCTAGCTCAGAGTTGAAATGAGGAGTCCTTGGTGCTGCTCTCTGAGCTTGCGGACGTTTCATGACACCATCAGTGATTGCGAAAACAACCAAGCTCACAGAAGACCAAAGATCTTTTTTTTCAGTGTCGCTGCATCCTCGAACGGTTGCAAATCGAGGACTACCTAGATCACTAGCTAAGATGGAGGGTTATGAAACCCCAGTCCCCAAAACATTTTGTAAATACGTGGCTTTCCCCTTCACCAAAAGTTGAGACGGACCAAGTGAAGGAACGGTGGCCCAAACGGATGTTTTGAATAGTTCAAGTGGCAGTGACAGATCAATTTTGCTTCCCTCTCCTCCCGTAAGCCCCACAGGGAATCCAGACTGTTATATACATTGATCATAGTAGTAATGCCTCACCTGTCCTGAACCTGACTTAGGCTTGCCTAGGTGTATGAGGATGCCTTGGTGTGCCGTGCAATGTCACCCACGTGTTTCGCTGTGAGGTTGTCTCTAAGCATTTACTTACGTTCCGGGTCACTGGTGTCCTGCTCACTCATCTCCTTGCTCTTGTAGAATGGGAATTTTCGTGAAAAGATGAAGTTCTTTTTACGCTTGTCATTGAATGACTGTGAAGGAAAAGAGGCATGGCCGAAAAACAAGGGCGTCTAATTGTTGTCACACTCATGCTGACAAAACAACTAGCTGGTAAAAGCAGAGGACAACTGTGGTGACCGTGTCCAATCTCTGTCCTTGGCTTCACAAGGGAAGCGTTGAGAAGAAGACCAAGGAGGGAAAGAGTCAAAGGGGGTTGAGATCTTCAAGGATTTTTCAGATCTCGGTACGTTAGAAGGGCACCGGTAGTCCTTGACTTACAACCGTTTGTTTAGTGACCGTTTGAAGTTACAACGACACTGAAAAAAGTGACTTAGGACCGCTTCTCACACTTACGACTGTTGCAGCATCCCCATGGTCATGTGATCAAAATTTGGATGCTTGGCAACTGGTTCATATTTAGGACGGTTGCCGTGTCCTGGGGTCACGTGATTCCACTTCTGCAACCTTCTCATGAGCAAAATCAAGCCAAATTCACTTAACAATTGGGTTGCTCACTTCACAGCTACAGCGATTCACTTAATAACCGTGGCAAGAAAGGTCATAAAATGGGCAAAACTCACTTAATAACTGTCTTGCTTAACAACAGAAATTTTGAGCTCAATTGCGGTCGTTAAGTCGAGGACTATCGGTAATGTTTCCTAAAACCGGAAGTAGGAAATGTGATGCTCAACAGATATTTAAACTCTCAGTCTCACTCAACATGGCTGATTGCAAGGGCAGTGGAGACTGTAGTTCAAAACAGAAGGAGAATTCTAAGGAAGTCCTCCCCAGATTAATTGGTAGTGGCTCCAATTCTTTGTGGGACTATCTAGAAGTTGATCCTAATGAAAACATTGGGGTTTACTTCCAAGTTGCATAAAAGTACGTAGAAATTAAGTAGATGCAACTGGAACTCAGAATGCTTATCCAGAAGCAACGTATGTTATTGAGCATATTAATGTAGCTACAAGGATGTATTTTAAAAGCCCTGAAGAAGTCCTGTCTCAACCAGAAGAAGAATAGAATAGAGTAGAGTAGAGTAGAGTAGAGTAGAGTAGAGTAGAGTAGAGTAGAGTAGAATAGAGCTGGAAGGAACCTTGGAGGTCTTCTAGTCCAGCCCCCTGCTTAAGTAGGAGAACCTATACCATCTCAGACAATAGCCTCTTCTTAAAAATCTCCAGTGATGAAACACCCACAATTTCTGGAGGCAGGCTGTTCCACTGGTTAATTGTCCTCACTATCAGGAAGTTTCTCCTTAATTCTAGGTTGCTTCTCTCTTTCTTCAGTTTCCAACCATTGGTTGTCCTTCAAACTCTTATCATCCAGAACCATTAGCTATGTTAGTAATGGCCAGTGAGAATTCTTATTCAATTACATCTGAAAGCTGCAAACTTTTTCTTTTTTCTTTTCTTTTTTTAAAAAGAGGCATTCCCATTTTTTTATCCATCATGATGAGAATGCTTCTTCTAAAAAAATCACTTCCTTGCCACAAACGTATGACTGCGTTCAGAAAACAGTTGTAATGAGGTTAAAGACATAGCAGCTACATTCACATCTCCTGTTAAGCTTGGTTAGAATTATCCTTGGTTAAACTGAGTCTTGATAGTGCAGTGGTTAAACTGCAGTATTGCAGGCTAACTCTATTGATAGCCAGGAGTTCGATCCTGACCAGCAATAGCACTTAGACTTATATACCACTGCATAGTGCTTTACAGCATTCTCTAAAGTGGTTTACTGTGTCAGCATTTGCCCCCAACAATCTGGGTCCTCATTTTACTGACCTGGAAGGATGAAAGACTGAGTCAACCTTGAGTCTGTCCGGATCGAACTCCTGGCAGTGAACAGAGTCAGGCTGAAATATTACATTCCAACCACTTGACTCAGCCTTCCATCCATCCTACACTATTACTGCTGTATTTTACTGTTTGCTATGGTATATACACTCATTTTTTATTTGTGTATATAATGTTTGCATACCTGTATTTAATTATTTTGCTTTATTTAAATTCTATGAGCTACCTACATACACACACACACACACACATACACATACACACACATACACACACACATATATATACACACATACTGTATCTATCTATCTATCTATCTATCTATCTATCTATCTATCTATCTATCTATCTATCTACACACATATCTATAATATATAATATATATATATTCATCATGGCATGTCAGTCTACTTTCCTTTCTTTATTCAGATCTATTAAATATTTTTTTTTTCATCATTTCACAATCCTAATAGATTTACAGACTGTTTAAAAACCTGCAGCATCCATTCCTGCTTCCAAATTTGATTGCATATGCTTTATTTTGGTCACCAAAGTTTCATGCCACTTTTACACTCCAAGTATATTTAAAATTTAGTAATAAAAGCAAAAAAAATAAAGGGAGAAAAATGATAGACATAAAAATCTACAAACGCCCCATTACGACTGTAAACACTTGGATCCAAAACAACATTAACCATCATGCCAAAAATTAATGTATAAAATCATGCAAACCATGAATCATGCAAACGAAAAATAAAGGCAGATGTCAAAAATTATAGACATAAAAGGTTTTCAAATGTAATCTGGTTGGCGGGTGATGATATTGACAGAATGGCTTATCGAATCTAGAGAAATTAAAACATGTGTCTATGTTTTTCTCTCTCTGTCTCTCTCTCAATTGTGATACCTCTTTCCAGAATTAAACAATGTCATCTCATAACAGAACTCTCATTAGGACAAAGATACTTCTTAAACCACAACCCATCTGACATGATTTGATTTCCAGATTGGCAGATTTCCAAAGATTTTCAAAGAAAGGAGATCTAAAATTGGCAAATTAAATATCTTTTTTTTCTAGCCTCTCAAAGGCTTCATGGTTGCTATACAAGCAGATTGTCAATATCGAACTAATAACCCAATTATCATTTTACACTGCTATTTGTTGTAGCTTTCATTCTCCTTAATATCAAAACAGTGCATACCAAACAAGACAGCAAGTTTCTGTTGCTGTCTACACAGGTAGTCCTCGACTTACAACCACAACTGACCCCAAAATTTCCCTTGCTCAGCGAAACATGTGTTAAGTGAATTTTGTCCCATTTTACAACCTTTCTTGCCACAGTTGTTAAGTGGAGTTGTTAAGTTAGTAATGCAGTTGTGAAGTGAAATCTGACTTCCCCCGTTGACTCTGCTTGTCAGGTCGTAAAAGGGGATCACATGATCCCGGGACTCTGCAACCGTCATAAATACGATTCAGTTGCCAAGTGTCCAAATTTTGATCACATGATCATGGGGATGCCGCAATGGTTGTAAGTGTGAAAAATGGTCATAAGTCACTTTCCCCCGCCAAAGTTGTAACTTTGAACAGTCACTAAATAAACTGTTATAAGTCAAGGACTATTGTATCTTAGGACAGCACATCCAGTGTCTGAATATCTAAACCGGAGGTCTTCAAATTTGGCCCTTTTATGACTTGTGGACTTCAACTCCCAGAATTCCTTAGCCAGGCTGAGGAATTCTGGGAGTTGAAGTCCACAAGTCATGAAGGGGCCATAGTTCTCCCATGCTGGCTGAGGAATTCTGGCAATTGAAGTCCGCTAATCATGAAGGGGCCATAGTTCTCCCATGGTGGCTCAGGAATTCTGGGAGTTGAAGTCCACAAGTCATAAAGGGACCAAGTTTGAAGACCCCTGATCTAAATGCTTAAGGTCAGAATGGTGAGTTCTTTACCCTCTTTTGGGGGAAAAAATAGGTATATCTAGAACGTTTTGGTCACAGAAATGTCTGCATATAATGTTTCTGATATGATCTGGAATAGGTGAATTTATCAATTCAGAAGGGACCTAGTAGTTATCAGATAAAAATTAAGAATGATCTACCATAGGTAGGCTGCAGATTGTGGACACAGACGTTCGATGAGCCTAGAATGCCCCAGGTTAAGAAAGATTGATGTGTTTGATATGTTCTCCATGGAATTAATTGCTCTTATCAAAATGCAAAAGCTGCATCTGGCACAGAATATGGTGGTCAACCTCTGACTACATATGGACCATGGGAAGAACCTCTGAGGTGTACTTCATGGTCTGTGAGCTTGGTTGTTTTCTTGCAGACGTTTCATTACCCAACTAGATAACGTCATCAGACCAAGCAGTGATGATGTTACCTTTTTGGGTACTGAAACATCTGCAAGAAAACAACCAAGCTCACAGAGCACCAAGGACCCCACAGTTCAACCCTCAGCTACAAATATTCTCTTCCATCAGGAACAACTTCATATCAATCTATCACTATCTTCAAATGAAACTAGGGGATGGCGGTATTGGTGCTTAAATCTCTTTTCCTCCATTATTTATGAATCTTCCACTTAACTAGGTGAGTCAGCTGCTGCAAACGCTGGTTAGGAGGATTTTGTGATGCTGCATTCACTCTCTATGGACGCAGCTAACGCATGAGCCTAGAGCACTTCCGTACATTTGAAGGACGCATTGAGTCATTTGCAGCATATTTCGGCTGCATTCAGTGGGAAGAATTGATAAATTTATATAACTGCATTAGAAATGTTGTATAAGGAATCATACAGTGGTGGGATTCAAATATGTGAACAACCAGTTCTCTGTGTGGATGCCGCTTCCAGAAGTCCATTCTGGGCCTGGGCAACAAAAAATTAGCTACCGAAGTGGTGGGAACCGGCTGAATCCCACCACTGGGTTAACTAGCCCAAGTCTCCAACAAAGTTATTGATTAACTTAAAATCCTTTAAACTCACAGCAAACATGAGAAGGAACCAAACACTTGTTTCAAATGGCAAACACGCACAAGCAAACACACAAAACTGAATTAACATAATGGAAAGATAATTTTAATGCTCACAGCTCAAAACAAAGAGACTCACTCCACGTCACTTGATCAACCCCTTGTCTGGGTCAACATATACATACACCCACGCCCCTCAGGTGTCACACACTAGAACCAGCATGTCCCTCAAGCCTACACAAAAGACCAGTGTCCCTACTACAAAA